ATCTTTCATCTTTCTTCCTATGCACAGCACGCAACCATCTTAAAAACGTAAAGATTGTCCCAACTCCTTCATCGTGCACAATAATTCCTTTTTTTGTAAAATACTCAGAAGGCTTCAGAAGGCTGAAGCTCTGGCAGAGGAAAAGGACGCGTGTGAAACACTTCTGCATACGGCAAGGCAAAGAAGCAGCAGAGGAAGCAGAGAGGGAATCTCACTCCCGTTTTCATATATAACCTATTTAAAATTGACTCGACTTCCCCAGTTAATTCATCCACTTCCAGCAACTTTAATCCTTAAATGGTTATTGTTAAAAAGAAGTTTGTATTCCCTTAAAAGACAAGAGAAGAAGAAAATGACTTTGTCATATCTGACTGGTTCGGGAAATACAAAATCCAATTCTGAAGGAAGGCAGATAAGGGGAGAGCCATGGAAGAGCCATCAGCTTAGCAAACACTAAATAATGAAGAAGGCAGAGACTGCCCAGTATGATAAAACGCTCTATTAGCAAGACTGTTTTTAAATGAGTGATAATTGTGGCACATCCACAGCGAAAGGTTATTGAATTCTTTATCTGGCATAAGGGGCCTTTTGATAGCCCAACCACAAAGCCGCCAAATATACCTCCTTTTCAGTAAGTTTCCCCAAAGACTTCCATGCTTGCCCAGCCCTTCCTTCTGGTTTCCTAACATCAATAATAACTAGGCCCGTAGGTTGGCCATTTACAGTCAAGGAATCTCTGCCAGAAAAGCTACACGCTTTCTCCAAGGAAGGACAATGAAGCCACCACTACCATGTCACGGACTTGGTGGACCTAGGGTATTTCTGGCAATGCACCAAAAATTCTGGTCCCAACACTCACTGAAAGGTTTGACAGTGCCTTGAGTGAGGCCAAGATTTAACCTCAAGGTGCTGGGACAGAAATGAGTCTCCACAAAATGGTCAAAAATCTGGACCTGTGCTTTCTTTCTGACACTTGCCTACCTTTCAGAAGTGATGAAAACTCCCCAAATGCTGGGAAAATAAACTACAGCTATGAAACGGGACACAGATGCCAGCGTGCAGGAGAGCAAATACCAAGACTGAAGAGTGATACAGTTAAGATGCAAATCGAGTTGTCATCTTATCGGAACAGGGGGCACCAGGCGGACTGTTACTCAGCTCAGATTGGTTTCCTACTTTTTCAGTAATGCTTTCATTTACTCCTCACGCTTTGGCCCAACATGCAGGGAGTACGGATGATAAAACCTTACCAATTAATGGGATTATCGCTCTTGTTCAGGCATGGATACCTTAATGTAGCATCTATTCCAAAGAGTAACATAAAGCAGAAGACAGAATTGCTCAAAGGAAGACAACAGCTGCCCAACAGCTCCAACTCAGCTACCGACAGCGAGCTGGGGGAATAACAGCCTCCTGACTCGCATACAAAAGACCAAGCATTAAACTTGGGTTTCACACCTGTATGTCTTAAAATCAAAGTTACCAGTGCTGAAATTGAGCAACTTTCTAATGGTTGCAGAGCTGAGGAAGCCCGCTTCTCTTACTGCAATCTGAATCCGAATGTGGTGAGCTTCAGTACATAGTAGAAAAAAATCCTTTATTTAGCTTTTCTTTTGGCCGGTTTACTTCCCCCCCCCTCCCTCTCTCGCCCTGATTCTTAATATGCTGTGGCTAGCAGCAATCAGATGCTCAGAAATTCAGGTGATCAAACCAACACAGAAGAGGACAGAGTAACTTGTGTGACAGTTGAGTGGTGCGGCATTAACATTTTATGACCCTGAAACAATACTGGGGGGTTTTAATTCTCTCCTCCTCTCAGTTCACTCCAAGCACATTTGTGTTGCTGCTCTCCTCCTGTCCAGGTGGGAAGCAAACAGACATCTCATCTCATTTTTCCTCTGTTCTTTATTCTTTGTATTCTCCCCCGAAAGACTTGCGCTCCCCTGTATATCATTGTAGCTTGCTGGATTTGTAAATACTTCTGACTTATATCACCACCTCTGCCCCACAGCACCACTTTTTCTTTCTCCTATATAGACTGCAGTCAGCTCTATTGATGTTCCATTTATGAGAAATATTCCACCAGGTTTCATTTATAACCATGAGGTCAACAGTCGCTATCATTTTCTAACGCTGCTAGTTCTTCTTCTTGCTTCAGATCCTCCTGGCATTTGTATACAGACGTTTTAGTGAGTTGGTATAAAGTTATTACAAAGGAAGATGAATTTTTATTGTCAGGAGGATGCTGCCAAGTAAAATATTACGCTTCGTACTTTTATGTTTATTCACGGCTGTGTGTAACAACCTCCCAGAAGCTTGAAAGTCATGCTCATACCCTTTTATGTTTGGAAAATATTGATTTTTAAAAATTTCTGCCTAGAACTGAAATTATCAAAGATGTTTCTGTTTCTAACAAGTGTGATTGTTAAGAGTACAACTCCTCAGCCAAAAGAACTCCCCCTATACCTAAAATAAAGTTCTAGGAATAAGTATTTGGCTATTGACTTTTAATAGCATTTATCATTGTGTTTTGTTTTGTTTGGGGGTTTTGATATTCTTACAAAGGACACACTGCGAGAGCCCAGCACTTCTTGTTGCTCAGCTATCCAGAACTCAAAGTAGGGGTAGGAATCTTAAAGCTACCCATAACTTTTTGGGTCTTCAAATGCCAGGTGATTGGATAATCTTGGCTATCATTCTGGATCCCGACAAAGTGATCAGAGAGAGCTGGAGTAAAGAGCTTAAAGGCCCCTGCTCCAGAGTAGAGCTATAAACCCAGGGAAGATTGCCATTCAACCAGGAGAGGAGGCTTTCTTAGAGAGTCAGATAAAGCCCAGTGCTATTATAGAGATGCTCTGCTCTCAAGGGGTGATTACTTTAACTGAGGTATAAAGTGACGAACTTGCTGTTTAGCACCAGTGAACGTCCCCCATCACTTTCTCCGAAAACAAGACCGAGGCGATTTTCAACGCCAAATTACCATGAAAGTTCAGAAGAGCGGGTTGCCCACAGACCTGCTCTTCTGTGACTACCTTCCCCTAGGATTCTGCTCCGCTGCAATGTGTTTTTGTGCGACAACGCTGCTACAAACTGCCAAAATGCAGTCAATCCCCAATACGTCCCCTGGCACCCTGGTGTCCTACCAAGCTGTGCAACTTTTTTCTCTGTTAAGCTCTTCTTCTCTTCTACTCCTCTTCTACGGCAGCATGTTACAATTAAGCAGATGCTTCCTTCCACGCCTGGGGCAGCTGCATTTAATATAACCCAAATTGCTTGCATAGAGACAACAGAGGATGCTCTATGTTTGTAAATGCACAGTGTTACACTAGAGGGACCTAGGGCAATACAACATGTTATAACAAATTTACGGCTACTTCCTTAGGGCCAACTTCTGGCACATCGCAACTTTGGGAACGGCACAGTAGGCAGGCGAGAACCAAAGCCTCTGGCCCTAAGAAAAGCTTAGACCCGCGTCAGCTGAGCTAAAGTAAAATCCTCAGGAGTCAGTAACAGCAGGAGCACTAAGAGACATGGATTAAGCTTTGTCGTACTATTCAATGCGCACTGTCTAAATCTTTACAGCATTTGTTTCTTAGTACCTAACCAAAACTCTTTCCGAAAGTGATCAGAATAAAAGGATCTGGCAAGATAAAGTCTATCTATTATATAAAAGCCTGTTTAAAAAGAGATGGTTAGGAAGATTGTCAATTGCGTTAACTGACTGGATGAATATCCCTCCATTTTTTTAAGGAGAAGAAAAGAGAGGCGAGTCTGCTATTCTGAGCAATTGGAGCATGGCTGGGAGAGCGCACTGCTGGAAGGCTGATGAGCCAACGATTTTCAGCTTCTGAGAAGAGCAACAATCGCACTTAGCTGCATCCCGCGGACCGTATTGCTGTTACTACGGAATGGGATTGAGGCAGCTATTAGGTCAAAGACGTCACCTTCTGTACAATGCCGCACCTTTCAAACACAATCTATCGACATTAATCGCGCCAAGGCACCCAGCGATGTACAAATAACAGCACTGCCATCGCGTTGCAAGCGGCACGTTATGCGTAAAGCTTTTTGTGCTATTAAAACAGCTTAATACGTTTCGGTACAAAGGGTTCGGTCAGAGAGCGGAGTCCATTTATGCCGAGCTCTGTTTCTGGCGCACAGCCACAGCCCTGCTCTGAACATGACCCAATGCAGACCACGCCAATAATGGCGATACGAGAAGTAACACTAATCACACCTCTAGTGCCAGCCAGACAGAAAAATCGCTACTCTCCAGAGTGAGGAGGGAAAGCTGAAGCACGGCGAAGTGAAAGGATCTCACAAAGGCAACGGAGGCAACCCTTGACAGTCAGGAGCAGAAGTGGGGTCTCCAGAGTCCCGCTTCTCCGTCCTCCCTGCACCTCAGCTCAGCAACGGTTACTCCTGCCTTCGCAGAGTGAACATCAGTGCCCCACTGACATGTATACCAGGGCACTCCTCATTAAGAGCTGCTCAGTTTCTCCACTGAATTTATCTTATCTCTCTCTCTCCCTCTATTTTAAATATTCAGTGATCTAGTGATGCTTTAAAGAAAATGAAACCTCTCTTGGCAGCTCAGCACTGACACCCCTTCCTGTATAATGCCATCAGCAGGGACCGCTGAAAAACTCAAGGAAGCCCCCTTAAAGAGTGGTCAGAGCTTATGGGAAAAGTGATGCTCCTGGCATCCTCACCCAGTGCCCACTACGCAGCCAGAGCAGATGCCACACCACAGCGTTCACCAGGAGGAAAGAGACTGAGCTGCTTTGCTTTCTGCGCTCCTCTGAGCTCCCTGAAGAACTGAACGTGCCTAGGACAGACGCCTTGGGCAACCTGCAAGCTGGCAGAACTGAACTTTGTCAACAGATGGAAAACCCCTTTGAAATCAAGTACAAAAGAGGTCCCCTCCTGCCACTACAGTATAATTATCTAGGTTTCCACCTCTGAGACAAGTGTGGCCCTCACCCACGGTAGCTACTTACTCTGGGTGGCTGAAAGACTGGAGAAGGCCGCCTTCGTGCGACCAGCCAACCACTCCAGGCTCTCGTGCATGTTGGCCAAGGCCTTCAGGTCGCTGACGTCGCGCAGGATCTCCTGCTGGGGGATCAGCTTATCTCCCAGGTTTCCGATGAGAACTTCTGACTCTTTGCCGAAAGCAGCCCTGAAACGCAAACCAAAACCACCCACGTGAGTACAACGCAGGGTCGCTAGGGGAAGAGATTAGCCATACCACCGACAGCGTCACACTGGCCTGCGCTGAACTGCTCCAATGAGCGGTTTTGAGAACTTTGTCTGCTGGAGTTTTAAACGCCTTGTTACAAAGAACAAAAAATTCTGCAGTTCACGACACCTCTACCTCACAATCTCTTAATTTAATTTTACTCTCCGTCATTACAAATTGCATCCCAACCAACTTCAATATCCCTTTCCCCCAGCATTTACACCCTTCAGAGACATGCAGATGATTTCCAGGTCTTTTTGTTATATGTATAAATAACATACTGCATATGCAGTTCTCTTAATCTTCCCTTGTAAGTCATTCCTTCCAATCCCTCAGTCAATCTTTTTCATACCTACATCAAAAGAAATTTACCACAAAACTCGATGGCTTAAAAGGACAAAGGGACAAGAAAAAATGGTTTTCAATATTACCCTGCGCATTATTTTACCAGTACGGATGCCGCACCTGGTGAAAAGTGATGACCAGGACAAATGGGTTTACACCACACAATGATTTGTAAACAAAATCTGAAAAACTTCCTTCAACGCTTGTAAATGCTCGCTCCGGTGCTGTGTTCCATCTTCCGCATTCAGATTTAGCTTTCCCAGTACTCGTGTCCACGAAGAGCTAGTTGGGCAAAGTCCCAGAAGGATTTTTGTGGCATTCTCACCTCTTTTGCAGGTTAAGAGACTAATCCCAGGAGCAACTCTCCTCCGGTATGACTTTGTGCGTAGCATTAGGGCAGAGAACGCTGGGCAACGCTTCCTACATGTAATTACAACAGCCTCCGGATGAAACATTTTATTCAAAGACTCCAAGTGACGGCACATTTACCATGGTCCTCGGTACACTGTTCCAATCATTAGTTGCTCTTTTGGTAACCAATTTGCATTCCACTTTCATTCAACTCTGCAAACCTCAACTTCCCGTCATTAGATCTTTTATGAACTTACAATGAGGAATCATGCTGCTGAGCATAATAGCTGCAACGCGCTGCAGCAAAATAATTCCAACAGTGGCATTTTATATACTTTCTAAGTAGTTTTACTGCCAGCATCTCACTAGATTTGTGAGACTTCACTGTCACTGGAGAAAAAAAAAGACAACCCTGAAATGGTTTAAAATTGCTCAGCTGAATTCATTAAAAGCATAAAATAAAAATAACCTTCATTAAAAAAATCTCTGTGAGGATTTTCTTCTGCTTGACAATGAAAAATACGTTGCCTCAGGGCTGCATCCCTAGTACTATGGTTTGGGAGGACACCTTCTCTGTAGGCTACGTCTGAGGACTGAGACACAAGAACGTCCCCAACCGCAAAGGAATACAGCAGTGTTACTTTAGCTGTTCCTCTTCTCCATAGGATGAGGTTAATTTTGAGCCATTCTGGCTATCCAAAATAATTAAATCCTTTCTGCACTTCAGGAAAGCCAAAAAAAGCTTTCCTGATCAGGTATTTCTACAAGATTCGTATAAGGGGCCGTAAAGCTTCTTGTTCTTAGTGCAATAGTTATTTAAATCTGCTCATTCCCCACGTTTTTCCTGACAGCGCCCGCGAGCGAGGAAAGGCAAAGTGACTCATCCAAAGTCAAAACAGGCTTTTGAAGCTCAACACCACATTGAACCAGGTGGTCCAAACGCGTACCCGAGGCTTGACCGCTCTTTCCTTGGAAATGCACGATCATCTATTTAGGTAAGACACATTTTTGACTTTCGTAACAAGCAGAGAACTTCAGCTCCACCCACACAATGAACATGCCAGTACTCTCTCTGGTTCTTGTGGAGCAGAAGACATCTCAGGGATAAGTTTTTTCCCCTCAGCTGAACCACTCCTCTTGATTTAGGCTATCAAATCCCAGAGGCAGCTGCATGAATTGCTCAGATGGAAAAGTAGGAAAGGAAGCATTTGGTGAATTTCTACTGTCTTTACTGTAGCTTACCCATACAAAATGCATTAAAATAAGCAGTTCTTTGCAGAGTCCAATTTGAGAACTGGTAACGTTAGTAGGAGTCACTAGCGTGCCTCTACCCACACCAGCGATTACGAGTTCAGGTTTATTGCAGGGACTACTCTTCTGTCTTACCGCGCAGCCAGCGAGGCTTTGGCACTGCTTTGGATGGATAGCCTGTGCATGAATAATACAGTACTTTCAGTCATGCTGAAAAACAGAAATCTATAGAAAACAAAGCATGGTGTATTTCCTATTTTTACTCCTGGGAGGAATACAAATGAGGTCCTCTATATGATACCGTACTCTAAATTACAGTTCGAATGCATGTGACTTTGCCATTCATCCTAAAACAACAACAGAAGTTTGCATCAAAAGGACAGCAAATATAATTGATTGCTTTCTTTAACAAATATCTCTGGCTGTGGAAACCCTAATTCACTACTCCACGCAAGCTGCAATCTATAATAGAGACAACCTGCAACAAGCAACTCCTGTTTCAGAAGATAACTTCAAAGAGTTCTCACGGATTCCAGGAATTTCATTTTAAACCTGCTGTTAGCAATCGCTTCCAGGAAGCAAATTTTTGCTAGTGTTCCGGATACCTGCCTGAGAGACTATTCACTGCATGTATTTCTGTCTCTTTACATACTAAATTTGCAAGGCTAAGCATTTAAAGGTAAGGAAATAAAAAAGTAACAGTAGAATATGCAATCTTAACTCTTTTTCTTGTGAATACTTGCATTAAAATAGCATCTTCAGACCATACCATTTCTCAGTCAATACTTTTCTTGGCACAATTACACCTGCAAGCGTATACTTAGGACAGGGAGTGAAGAGAGATTTCTGAAATAAAGCCTCTGCGTACAAAAAGATCTGCAACCACATAACGTAGTTAGTTTTTGAGGTCTCTGGTTTTGACGGCTCAGCGGGTACCCCTGGTTTGAATTACGACGGCTTTGAAAATTCAAAACCCATCCTATTCTAACCACGAAGTTTCCTTTGGACTTTGCCACAACACGCCCCCCGCCCCCGCCACTTAGGGTGAGCTCTCAGAGATGGAAATTTCCAGCTAGAGAGCTGAATATTTTAGACAGCGAGAATACATCACAACGAAGTGGCTCAGAATGGCGCGTTTTACAGAACGTGAACAAAAGGGAACGCTCCATTCTCCTGAGAGACCTTCAGGTGTGTATATACCCACGCTCAACAAGGAGATTAATATTGCATATCGACTACACAGTGAATAAAGAAAATCCGAGTGCATTTCCTCACCGTCCAGCTGCTTCTTTGTGGGAGCTCGTTCTTCCTTACATTGCATGTGACGCTAGTGCTACACAGCTTCATTGCCTTTTTAGTCCCGATTCCCATAGGATTTGCATGCACTTCAGTAGGGCTCGCTCTTCGTCTCCCGCTTGGCGGAAGATGGGCTGCACTAGCAAAGTCCTTGGACTAATGAAGCCCCTCAAGTCTCCCAATCAGTTTGTTTCACTTTGCTAAGCCATCTGGGTTTCTATAATATATGTAGGAGGATGGGAAATTTGTACACTGGGGAAGAAAGGCCAGAGAAGGGCATATGTGATAAATCAGCATCACCCATGCTACATTTAAGGCATGCTGACCACATCGGAGCAAGGCTGGAAAGCAGCCAAGTGTCCACATCAATACTAAACAACGAGGGAAGGAGGCATCCGATGTACCCTTGGCAGCAGCTTTACATGCGCTTACTGCTCCTCTCCCTTTCCACTGCCAAGAAATTAGCTTCAAACATCTCTTCGGCAAACAATGTGGAGTAAAAAGCTCGCTGAATGAGGGTGTACGGAGCCACAGGAGTATGATGGTTGTGAAGAAACCCTTCATATTTAGACAAAACTCTGTCAGCCCTCTTCCTGAGGAGCCCCAAGGGAGCGCGTTGAAGTGCCATTTACAGGTGGGGACACTAAAGCACACAGGAGTATCTGAGTTGCCTGAGGCCATATAACGAGTTGGCGTCAGAGGATGTGTTGGAGCTCCACGCTGCTGCATCCCAACCCTGAGATGAACTCAACACCATGTACACCCCAGCAAATTTACAGTTATAACTATGATTTGCACAGTGGCGTTTTCAACACCACTCAACGTCGGCAGAGTATTTATTATGCTAATGAACATATCATACAAAGAGTCCAGAGAGAAGGCAGATTTGAGAGTCACTTTGTAGCTGTATAGCAAATATCCAAAAACCATCCATTAAACTGTGAAGACGACAAATGTAATTTGATTTCTATTCCTGTGCTTTAGCCACAGAGTTAGAATTCAGGCTTGCAGACTGCATTTAAAAAGCTGTATACAGAAATAACCAAGGCAGATAGATTTCCCCTCGACTATTTCAAAGACATTACTATTACGTCCCTATTTATAAAGAGGGAAAAGGTGGTTTGTTGCCTCACCTTGCTCTAGAATTTGTTCAACAGTCACAAAGACATTGTGCAAGCTGCAAAACAAACTAACCCACGTGGGCACTTGCTGCAAAAGGAATCACTGATTCACTGCAGCAAGAACAATAACCCCAGACCCAGCCATCTTGCTGTGGAAGAGGTGGTTTCACTTGTTTCAAAGATTCAACACCTGAAGGTATTTTAAAAATTCAACACATGAGGACATTTTTCTCAGCACTTCCAAACAGCATTGTAGTCACGAAGAAAAGACTCTGAAGAGTCTCCTTGGTGGATATAAATTCACGTTGCCAATCTAAGATATAGCCCATCCTAAAAACGACCCAGATTTGAGGTTTACTGGGATTTGAAAGGGCTCGACAACAATTTGTGCATCTCGATGAGGGAACGGCGCAATTGGCGCCAGCACTTCTGGGCAGCTCCAAATCTCTGCTGAGAGGTCACAACACCGTGGAAAAGCAGACATCGCTAATTGACAATTTTAAGCTGTAACATCACAGAAAATTGTCCCTCTAAAATTTAGTTGAATATTCCAGTCTTCTTAAGTTTACATGACAC